AAAATTCATAGCTGTTTGAAAAAAATTTCTCAGATCTTTATTTGTACGTTCATTGCCATCTTCGTCAAATTCAAAACCCTCAAAGTCCAAGTTGGCGTCACTGTAGCCGTCGAACAAAATCCCTACAACTTATTCCTGAAGTTCGTCGATATCGTCCCACACAATTTGGACTTAGACTGCGAAATCCGTGGATTAAAAGTGCTGTCTGCTTGGCACTTTTCATTCATGTCTAATCATAATAAAGAGACAAGAAAAATGGGGTCGCTCTGCTGCGATGGCACACGATGCTTTTGTTTACAGTTTAGCAATCGTCTTTGAACTTTATGTATCTGCTTTACTGATTGGCTAATAATGACATCACTACTAGTATTTCATCATAAAGGTTAAATCGTGACATTGCTTTTTTATCAGACTCAACGCTTATTAATCACGGTGAAAGTTATCATTCAGCAAGTTCCAGCAGTTGGAATGTCTCACTATATGGATATCGTGGTGGACTTGAAAAAGGAAGTTTTTTTTATCCAACGACAGAAGAATGTTTTCATGACGGTGATGAAAGATGGTAAAAAAATTGGCAGTCTTCGGCGTGACCTTGCAAAATTGCTGACCCCAGTTATGGATTCGCAAGCTGCTACAAAATATTTTATAAAGCCAAAATAACGTGATTTCAACCACTCTCGAGTTGCTACAATATTGCAACATTGGTTTCATTGTCGACGGCGCTAAAGCCGATCGAGTGCGACACTTGGGCTCTCCTTTTACGATTTGCCTGAATCGTTTCTAAGTTACTAAGGAAGCACAAACCAAACGGCCGGCCATTTTTAGGACCACGACATATTTTAAAAAGAGAACTACCGTTTCTGCTTTAATATATATTTTTATAGACTTGCTGATTGTTATGATTTAGAACGCGCTGCCCTGAAGGCAGAAAGCTATCACAGCTATTTTGCGTTCACCCCTTGTTTTACGCAGTTAACATTTTTTATAAGTATCATGACAGTCTTCAAGAAAGTCAACTGTTAATACAACCACAGTCAACGAATAGAAAATAGTTTTTTTTTTTGTGTAGAAAAAGACCCCCTGGGCGTGTGCCCGGATATGACCTCAACTCCTTTATTGTGTCAAAAGTGGGGGGTGGGTGTTTGCCCAGGCATGGGCTCTTACCCGGATAAGTACGGTAATATTAATTAATAATAAAAAAAAAAATAATAAAAAAAATAAATAAATAAAATTGGAGGTAACATTGAATTTTTAATCAGATTAATATGAGGCATACTTATGTAGATTACTCTTCACAACGTAGATATGTGTCATTTTTAAAATCAGTCAGAGTTAACTTTAAGCTGGATTAAAACTAGCTAAATGTTAGCTTACTCCCAAACCGTACTGTATTTATTTATCTATTATTATACATTTGTCACCGTAACGCCACAAGTTACAGTATGCCGTAATTTTGCAGTATTTTACAGAGTATTTTCATCCTATCATATTAGGAAATGCAAATTCCAAATATAGAATGATTAAGCATGATTTTGTGCATACTTTGAGGTATCTTTGTAACAGCCTTATATTATTATTATATTATTTGGATAATATACTACTGACATCTGATTCACATAAACAGCACTCCAAATGTCTTAATTCTCAGGACTTAATTCTATGTTTAACATATATATATATATATATATATTGAAATTTATAGATGCTAGTCCCACCGAAATGTAACGTGGTTGATATTGTTCACAGTTCACTTGAATGTTATGATTAAATTTCAAAAAAAGAAGAAGCCTGAACGAACAAGAAAGCAGGTGGGTACTCATTGCAACCAAATCCTAAGAAGAATGCTTCACATCGCATATTGAGAATCATCAGCTGGGTAAATGAGATTTGGTGGAATTGATAACTTACTAAAATGCAGAAAACTTCATCCTAACCAAATCTATAATTGCTTGACTGTTTTACTACTGAACTTGGATATATTGCAAACACCCGATTGTTGCATTGGATATATGAAACATACACGTCTTACCAACAAACATATCCAAGAATAAGGACTTTTAAGTTAAAGAAATGTGACTTTGTTAATAATATTATTATCATTACCTACTGTTGACCAACATCCACTACTGTATACTCTCCCATTCCATTAAAAGTATATTTAAAGTTATCCAATGTAATAATAATATTATCATTACTTACAGTTCACCAACATCCACTACTGTATACTCTCCCATTCCATTAAAAGTATATTTAAAGTTATCCAATGTAATAATAATATTATCATTACTTACTGTTCACCAACATCCACTACTGTATACTCTCCCATTCCATTAAAAGTATATTTAAAGTTATCCAATGTAATAATAATATTATCATTACTTACTGTTTACCAACATCCACTACTGTATACTCTCCCATTCCATTAAAAGTATATTTAAAGTTATCCAATGTAATAATAATATTATCATTACTTACTGTTCACCAACATCCACTACTGTATACTCTCCCATTCCATTAAAAGTATATTTAAAGTTATCCAATGTAATAATAATATTATCATTACTTACTGTTCACCAACATCCACTACTGTATACTCTCCTATTCCATTAAAAGTATATTTAAAGTTATCCAATGTAATAATAATATTATCATTACTTACTGTTCACCAACATCCACTACTGTATACTCTCCCATTCCATTAAAAGTATATTTAAAGTTATCCAATGTAATAATAATATTATCATTACCGTAAAATCTGTATTAGAAGCCGCATCCCTAATAGAAGTCGCACTCAATCTTTTTGTACAATTGAGAACCAAAAATTCATCATTTCTCATATGTGTAGATGCTCTAATAGAAGCCGCATCTCCTATGTTGCATTGCACCATTTTAATAGAAGCCACGGCTTCTAATACAGATTGTACAG